TCAGACCTAAATGAAAGGTGGCCATGCAAGGATGGGGGATGAGGGGGCAAACAGGCAGAAGGTTCCAGATTGAGAGAAGAGCAAAGACCCTGAGGCTTGTCGGGTGTAAGGAATAAAAACAAGCCGGAAGTAATTGGAGACGGTGCCAGGGAGGCCACACAGGCCAGGTGGTGTAGGAGTCACAGGCCACCCCGGGAGCTTGGACTTGATTCAAGGTCCCACGAGAAGTCTTGGGAGGGTATTAACAGAGGAGTGGTACATTGGATTCATTTGTAAAAGATCCCTGGGGCTGTTCTGCAGCTATTGTGCGTAATCTCATTTAATTTGTAAAACACTCTCTGGTAGTCCTGTTTTCTTCAGATTTACAGATAAGAAAACTGAGGCACAGAGAGATTAAATTAGGGGTCCCAAAGTCAGACAGCTAGAAAGTGGTGGAGCCAGGAATAAAAAATTCAAGCAGCCTGAACCGCTTAGAACCCTTACATTCAATAGCACCCACAGATTTGGGGTAGGCAGTCTGGGGTTGATCTGGACTCTGTGGTCACGGGCCTGGTAACCCTGACAAGGTCCTGCATCTCTTGGAGCCTCAGGTCCCTCATCTGTGAAATGCAGGTGGCAAGAGCAAGTTCTGGGAGGTGTGTGAGCCTCAAAACACATGCCAGGATCGAAAGCCAGCAGCCTCAGTACAGGCTGGGCCCAGAGCAAGCACTGGGCCCCCGGGAGCTGAAAGTGACTCCTGGTCCAGGCCACCCCCAGCACGAGGCAGCCCCTCTCCACTCACAGTCTGTTCCATCCCAGCAAAGAGAGGCGTCCGCAACCACAGCGCCCACCAGCTACCACATCCACACTCACCTCTCCTCCTGGACGCTGGGTCCACTGCACACACCACACCAAACACACGCAGCTGCCCAGGGATAGAGGGAGGGGCACTGCCACCCAGACTCTGCCCTGCACTAAATGCAGATCCCGCATACTGGCCAGACTTGGGTGCACTGCTGTGGTGGGGAGGAGCACGGGGTGGGGAGAGGGAGGAGGCCTCCCTGGAGAAGCCACTCTCTCTCTTTCCTCGTGCAGCATCTCCCAGAGAAGGTGCCCGGGCCCCTGATCAGTTCCACCTGACAGCCATCCCAGTGGGGCGGGGCCACAGATCCACAGCCGGGGCAGAGATGTGCCCCTCTCCACGGCAGCTCCAGAAGCAGTACCCTCTTCATTTGAGTAGTGCCTTATTTCCAGAGTGGTGTTCCCTCTGCTAGTTAATGTCCCCTCTCCAGAGGAGGCACTCCCAAAGTCCCCAAGCAGGGACATTGCAGGGCAATGTTCAGTCCTGGGATCCCTACAGAGGTGGATAAAATTCCAGCTCTGGCCCATGAATGGTGGCTATCAGCATGGCTATGCTTTGGAGCATCTGGAAGCAGCAGGGAGTCAGGCACAGAAACCTCTCTCCCCTGGCCCCTAGTTCCAACAGGGACCCTCACTTCTGCAGGACTTCAACCTCCCTCCTTCCCTCTATCTGGAACCTCTGGTCAGGAATGCAGTGCAAACTGGCCTGCAACACTGGCTCTGGAACAAGGAGGTTCCAGAGGTTGCCTCAGCGGGGGAGGGTGGATTGCTGAATTCCTCTTAGGAGCCCAATAGGGTTAGAGGTGCTGAGGGTGGGATTAGGAAAAAAGGGGAATGCTGTGCATGTTGGTGGTGGGGAGGGCAGTGTAGCATCCAGGGTGGGGTCTCTAGAAGAGAAATGAAACCGTGGCGGAAGGAAATCAAGACCAGCATTTCCTGCATTGGCCTGTCCCCTGGGAACAGAGAAGCAGGTAAGAGAGGCCCTTCCGGAGGATGTTTCAATCAGTAAGACTTTTCAGTGATTTACAACTCTCTTCCAAGTAAAAGTTAAGATGAGGGAAGGGGAGAGTGGCTAGCACTCTAGGTGCTGCTGGGGAAGGCGAGGCCCTCCAATCTGAGCAATGGACCCTCTGCAGGGCAGAGCAGGGGGGAATACTGGCTGGAGGGCTGGCTGATGCTCAGCTTACCAGAGATGACCCAGGGCCACCTCTGCCCCAGGGCTCACCCAGCCCCTACAGATGGACTGTGGAGGCAAATGTGTCTGAGCACCCACAGCCCCATCAACACCCCAGAGCCAGGAGGTACCCAGAAAACACTCTGAGCCCCTTTTCTGACCAAACTTGCTCTGGTCCACGCAGACCCTCTCGCATCAAAAACCTACAAATACATCTCTGTACACAACACACTGATCCCTGCTCAAACACAGGCACAAACACATCCCAAAGCAAACGATGGAAACACACACAGGAACTGGTGACCCCTACGCACACACCCACACAGGCACATACCGCTCCTTCCTCCTCCTTCCCTGTCCACCCCACCCCCACCGCCAACGTACAGCTTCTGGGGCCTCCTGGGCCCCCTCTGCTGGGGCGCTCTCGTCCCCCATCCCTCCAGGCGTGGGCACGGGCGCTGCTCAGCTGCCGCTGCTGCTCCTGCCTCCCCCTGCCCTACCAGGTTCCTTCAACCTCAGCTCCTGAGTTTGTTTGTCAGGTTGTAGGTCCCTGGAGCTATCAGCCAGGGAGCCTGGAGCTTCAAGAGGAGCAGGGAGTGGCTAAGCCAGCCCTCTGGGGATTTCTTCCCCTCCAAAAGTTAGGTAAAGGGAAGCTCCGGGCTCCCCGGCTCCCAGGAAGAGAGCCCCGCTCCTGTCACGCTCAGAAGTATTTGGGGAGGTGGGTTGTGGAGCAGGGGGGCTGCAGGAAAGCAAATGGGAGGAAGATACATGGCCTCATAGGGGTGTCCCCAGAGGGGTAGGGGAGTGTCCTGGGGCAGCCTGTGGCTGCGGTTAGGCCAGGATGGGGCAGAGGCCACTGCCCAAGCGGAGGGCACTCCCGCCTGGCGCCCACACAGTGCTCACTCACCATCCTCCTGGCCCGTCCTGGCCTCTCTGTACCTGTACCTAATCCTGATCTGGGAGAGAGGGATGGTCCTCCGGTCCCACCAGCACACAAATCCCAGCAACTTCTAGGCCCTCCCACAGCTGCCACACCCGCTGGCTCAGACCTTCTGGGCTCAAGCCCTGGGGCATTAGCAACTTCAGGAACATACCGGCATCCAGACCTGGGGAGGTGGTGGGAAGTAAGACTCAGGCCACTCAGGGCCTGGGGACCGAGGATTCCGGAGTCTACGGCCTGTTCAGCAGGTTTAGGCCTTACCCACAACACCTTTGCACAGAACTGCCAGCGCAGGGTCCTACAGGATATCCCCAGGGCAGACATCCTAAACCTATTTGAGGGCAGGGGCAGGGGTCAAGCCAAGTACCAGAACCCTGGGTTCTCTGTCACTAGTGCCCAGGAAAACCTGGGGCCTTGCCAGCAGCTCCCCCTCCCTGCCATTTTAAGAGCCATCCTTGTTCTCCTGTTGGAAGAATGTGGCCCTATTAATCCCCTGCAGCCTGGGGGCAAGCACTACCCTTAGGGTCAAATCAAATCCAGAGCCCTAGCAAGGACACTTGGTGCCAGGAACAACTCAGAGAAACTGAGGCACAGAGAGGACGCAGACCCTGAGGAAACCCAGGAACCCAAGCCTCCCCAGGGGCCCTGGCCCCTTGGAAGGGGGGAGAGGTCAGAGGCACTACCGATCCTCCTGGCCCAGGAGCTGACAGGGTCAGGGCCCTGGGACAGGGCACCTCCCGCCCCCAAGAACACACCCAAGCCTGGCCAGCTCACCTGGCCTTCCTGCCCTGTCAGTCCAGCTGTTCCAGAAAGAGAACATTTTCTTCTCACTCTATTTGGACAGCTGCAGGGACAGCGATGGTGAGAAGAGAATGTCTGATCATTGAGGGAGGGGTCTTCAGGGACCAGGGCCACAGGGCCTCCGAAGGGGGTGGGCCAAGGGGCTGCAGCTGACAGAAGTCCTGGGTCAGAGGCTGGGTGAGTGAGCTTGGGGGGCCTGGGGGCCGGCCTGACAGGGGCCAGGGAAAGGCTGCATTAGACTGTCACTCAGCAGCACGACAAAGAGGGTGGCCAGGGGGCTTCTGGAGCCAGGCCTGAGGCCCGGGAGGAGTGAAGAGAAGCCCAAGCGCAAGGAAGGAGAAGGATTCCCATCTTTATGGAATGTGTTCGGTTACAGGGTGGGGCTGAGGACAGCCTCACTCCCAGACTGGTCCCGCAGCCCCCTCCTCAGCAGGTCCAGGGCTGGCAGGTAGGGCTCAAGGAGGAGGACAAGGCACCAACAGGTCAAAGGCCTAGAAATCATGTCCTTGCCACCCTCAAGCAGGAAGTAGAATTATAGGGTCAAGACAAACGCTTTTTCTCCTCCCTCTTCCAGCTCTCTCTTCTTCTCAATAGTCTCCCTCTCCCATTCCGCTCTGCTCCGGGTCCCTGTCCCCTTTCCAGCCATCCCATCCTGGTGTCTCCCTGTCCCCATCTCCACCTCCTCCTGCCTGCCTCCCCCCACCCCCAGCCCCGCTTATGTAAGGGGCCTGAGAACACACAGAGGGAGCTTTGTTGTCAAACCAAATCCATACGGAGCCGGAATCAGAGCCGGAATCGGCCAACGCAGCTGTTCCCCATTCCCTCCGCCTTGGCAGGGTTGTGACTCTGGGCAGGAAGCCCCCACATGCCTCCATTTTGGGAGGTGGGGGACAAACGCTGGCCCCAGGGCCCCCAGGCAGCTGAATGGGTGGCCAGCGATCAGTCACCACTGCGTAGGACCACAGCAGGGGACCAGCTGGCCCCCAAGACAGAACAAAGCCACAGTGCAAAGCCAGGGTCCCAAAGACTGGAGAGGAGAGCTCTGGGCTAAGAGCTGGTTGCACAGTGACGGGCCTGGAAGGGGGGGTATAGACCCACTCGAGAGCACCCCGTGTGCTTGCCCACACGTGGATGCCTGCCCATGTTCTCTCTCACACACAACCCAAGTACATACTCATCCACAAACTTACAGTGTCCATGCACACACACGCATCAGCCCAAGGGCAACACACTGTGTCTGCTCACCTGGAAGGCATCTGAGCAGAAATCTCCTCCCTGCTCTGGCCAGCCTCCTCCCTCCCAGAGGGTAACCCTGAGGCAAAGAGTTCGAGGTCTGGAGAGAAGAGGGCGAAGGGCAGAGGTCAGAGGCCACAGAAGCTCCGCCAACCAGCTCTTCTTTGGAGACAAGATCCCGCCCTCCTGCCCAGGAAGATGTCCAAGGAGGGGGTGAGGGCCCAGGGGGCTGAGCTTAAGGTCAAAGCGGCCCACGCTTTGGGCAGGCACTGTCCCTTCACCAAACCCAACCGCTGGAAGAGCCATTTCGCTCAACAATGCCGGAGCTGCCAACAACAGGAGGCGCTCGCTCCCGAACCTGCACAGCCCTGCAGGGCGTCCGCCCTGCCCACCCTGACGTCCAGCCGCCAGTGTCAGGACAACGTGGGTGCTGAGGCCTGGGCGGGGGCAGGGGCAGAGGGACAAGAAGGGAAAGAAGAGGCAGACATGAGGGAAGAGGGATGACCGAAGAAGGAGGTGAGAGAAACCCCAAGGGGAAAAGGGAAGGAAGACAGAAAAGGATTGAAAAAAAGAAAAAGAGGAGGAAAAGGACCCAAGAGGGGACCTGAGGAGAAGCGGGCCGTGACTTGGAGAGAAAGGCCCACCGGCCCGTGAGGAGCACGCCCTCCCTGCCAGCCCTCGGCTCGCCCTCTCAGTGGACAAAGCCAGTCCAGGAGAGCAGGGCAGCGCTGGGCATTTCCAGAGCACCTGTCCCAGCCCACCCAGTCCTACGCCAGCCATGCCCCAGGAGTTTCAGCCTCAACAATCCCGGATCTGTGGGGCCTGGAGAAGGAACAGACAGGCTGAATGACACCAGGCCCTCAGAGAAGGGAATGAGATGGGGCAGGGGGTGGGATGGAGGGTCACTCCTGAGGCAGTCCCCTGCCTCGGGGGAGAGATGCCCTGTGACCTTGGACAGCAAGTTACTTTTCTGAGTCTCAGCTCCCTCATTTGCAAAAAGAAAAGGTTATTGAGCGGCTACTGTGTGCCAGCGAGGTGCCAGGCGCTGGAGAGACCGGGGAGTAAGACTCTCACCGGCCCTGCCTGCCCTGCGCAATGACGTCAGCCGGCCTCTGAGGCCTCTCCCAGCTTGCAGATGTTCACCTCACTCGTGCATCACCACCCTGTGAGGCAGGCAGACACTATCAGCCCAGTTAACACACGTGCTGATGGAGAACCAACAGAGTCTGAGACCTGCCTGAAGTCACAGAGCTGGGAGTAGACAGAGAGGAGACAACAGGAGTGGCTCCTGCCCCCCACCTGCCCTCTCTCCTGGGCCAGAAGGGAGACACTCTTCAGTCTCTGGGCCCCACCCTGAAGCACAGAAAATACACCAGCCAGCATTTATAAAGTATTGGATCCAGGCACTGGGAAGTTATCTGAAATGCTCTCTCATTCAGAAGTGCTAGTTTCTCAGAGGAGGAACCCGAGGCCCTGTGTTACGGCCAAGGCTGTGCAGCCAGGGAAAGGATACAACCTGTTGACAGGAAGACAAATCATGCCCCCCACCCAGAGCGCTGCCCCCCACCTGTCTTTGGTTCGGCTTGCACTCCTCTGCGGTCCACTCTGGGCTCACCCGGCACGGGGCCCCTCATGTCACAGGAGGGGGACCTGCGGGGAGGGGAGAGTGAAGGAGGAAGTGACTGTGCTGGTGGTCAGGGAGGCTTCAGAGGCTTGAGTGGGACGCTGAGGACACTTGCAGTTTAGGAAGGTGATTACCAATGGCGCCCAAGCCACACAAGGGGACAAAGGGAGAAGGTGAGAACACACGTGGCATGCTACTGGGAAAATAACAGTCTCTACTGGAGCCAAATGGAGGTTTTTGAATAAAAACTTTTAAAGCCAAGAAACCCTCTGGCCCAGTTTCAAATGAAATTTCACGGGGAAACCCAATATGTAGAAGGAAAAAGAGCGGAGGTGTTTGGGTTGAAACAAGAATAGGGGTGAACCCCTCCTCCTGAGCCCTCACCCCTGAGACGACACCTGAGAGAAAGTTCTACCCCCAGGGGCGCCCTTGGACCCGAATAAGGAAGAGAGGACCGATGTCAGGGACAGGGGATGAGGTCAGAACCAGTCTGTGCAAGGACCTAAAGGTTGGGCTGAGGAGGGGTGACAGGAGCAGGACTGTGACCAGCTGACCCTGGGGAGGGTAGAAAGGAGGGCACACCCTCCTTAGAGGGCAGACTCCTGCCCACCCCCACCTGGGGCTCAGTGTCCAAAGAGACTCCCGGGGTGGGGGCAGCAGGCTGCTGGGAGGCCCTTCTCTGAGAAACAGTTTCCCTGTCAAAAAGGAAGCTCTTCTGCCTTTGCCCCAAGAAAAGGAGGAAGCAAAGCAGGCACACAGCGAAGACAAAGTCAAAAAACCCGAGCTAATCTTCCATTTGTTTAATATTTACTGAGAACTTATTATTTGCTAGACATCATTCCAGGCAGGAAGAAGACAGCAGTGAACGAGACAGGTTCGTGGAGCTTACACTAAAACCCTGCAATCTGAGAGAAGAAATCACCTTAGAAGTCTTCCAACCTATTCCACACCACAATTGTGCCCCGCCACCACCTGCATCTCCTCTGGACCGTCCCTGTCAAGGTCACCGGTCTATGCTTGAACATCTTCCACGACAGGGAACTTGGCCCCTCCACAGGCAGAGGCATGCTCCTGAAATCTCCAGATGGCCACACCAAGGACCCTGCTCATCCCCCACACCCAGCCCAGGCAAAGCCTGAGGCAAGGGAGTCAACAGAGCACTGAACGCACTGTTAGAATGTGCAAGTTTTATTTTATATCGAGACAAAATATGAGGCTTCATCTCTAATTCTGCTGGTTCTGAGTCCACTGCTTGGGACCAAAGGAAACAAGTGGGCTCCATCCTCACCTGTGTGGAGCTCCAGGTCCCTCGGCCTCTGCCACCGTCCCTTCCAACCAGGCCTCCCTCCTCCTGACCTGAGCAACCTCTAAAGGGTAGAGAGGGCCGTGGGAGCAGTACCTGTGGGTGGGGCAGAAGGGAAGCTCACCACTCGGATTGAGAAGCCGGCCTTTGAGGAGCCGATCCGGCCTTGAGCGTGGCCAGGACTGGGAGTTGGAGCAAAAGTGCTCCCACCTGGCAGGAATCTGGGGATGCCGGACACCGGAGCAGCCACCTTGACCTGGTTCCCCATGCTCAGACCCTGCAGGGCCCCTCCCCTTCCCCACGTGTCACCGTGGTTGCCGGATGAGGCCTGGCAGCCATGTGGGCGGCAGCCAGGGAACCACATTTCCAAAGGAATAGGAGCCCGCGGGAGGGCCAGATGGAAGCAATTACCAGCGAGAAAGCAAGAGAGGTGGGGGCTGTGGCAGGGGAAGAAGGGAGGAAGGGGAGCCCTGCCCCGCCCACTGAGAGAGGGCTGACAAGCCCACGGCCTGGGCTCAGGGGACGGGGTGCCAGGACGGGCAGGGTAAGATGTGGGGTTCAGGGCAGCACATGGAGCTCTGGGCTGGGAATCAGGGGGTCTGTGTTCCCCCTTCGTCACCAGCACACTGTGGCCTTGAGCAAACTCCTTCACACCTCTGAGCCTTTTCATTGATCATGGAACAGGGTACAATGAGCTCGCGGAGCCACGGAGAACTGGGCTGAAAAGCACAGGTTTTGGAACCAGGCCTAGCTCAGCTGCTTACGAGCTGTGTGACCTTGGCCAAGTAGCTTAATCTTTCCAAGCCTCCATGCTTTCATTTTTTTTTTTTTTTTAATGTTTAAAAAATTTTTTTTTTTTCCCCCAAAGCCCCAGTAGATAGTTGTATGTCATAGCTGCACATCCTTCTAGTTGCTGTATATGGGACGCGGCCTCAGCATGGCTGGACAAGTGGTGCGTTGGTGCACACCCGGGATCCAAACCCGGGCCGCCAGCAGCAGAGCGCGCGCACTTAACCGCTAAGCCACGGGGCTGGCCCCATGCTTTCATTTTTAAATGGGCTTAATGAAAGGGTTGTGTAGGCTGACCCAAAGTGATGTAAAGATGCCTACAGCACATCTTTTTTTTTTTTTTTCAAAGTTTATTGGGCCAGGCTTTTAATAAGCACTTGATTGATAAATGGCAACTACCCTTGTTATTTGCTAAGTCCCTTTTCATTATAAGGACAGGTGTTTACAGAGGCTGCAATGGGCAGAGGACAAAGGGCAGACCATGGGCACAAGGCACCAACGCTGCAGCCCCTGGAACCCGCGTCCTGGCAGAGGGTTTGGATCCAAAGCAGAAACAAGAGTGTGCCGGCCCAGCACTCTGCAAACGAGTCCCTGTCCTCTTTCTAGCCACCACTGTCCTCCCCAGGAAAGCAATATCCTGGAGCCCCCGACCCACTGGCTTTGGAGTGAAGCTGTAGGCAGAAGGAAGGGACAATCCTACAACTACAGCTGCTTCTGGGCTTCTGGAGCCAGGCCTTCCTCACCCTCAAGGCCCAGGTGGACACTGAGGGCCTCCCAAGCCCGCCCCTCACCTCAGCCCTAGCAGCAGCACCCTCCTCCCTGTTGGGCTGGGGCAGCAGCCAGGGCTTCAGATTCTAGAGCAATCCCATCGTCTTCCTTCAGGGCAGCTTTGCGGGGGTGGGGTGGGCAGAGATAGGGCAGTGACCTGGCTGAAGGTCTCGCGGGCCCCTTGCCTGGGGCCTGAGACTAAAACAAAACCTGTAGCTCTGGACACTGAAGGCCCTCCCCACCCTGAAAAGCAACCGATCCAGTGCAACCCCTGGGTAGAGCTCAGCCGCTGCTGGGCTCAGGGAACCAACCTGAAGCCCCGTGGCACCTGGCTGGGGCCCAGGAAGCACATACCGCTGCTCCCACTTGTAGCTACATTTGACCACTTCCTCCATCTGTAGATTCAAGAGCGTCACTCACACACAAATACACACACACACACACAGACACACAGGGAATCTGGCAGGGGTCAGGGGTGATTCTGAAGCCAGGGGCGGCCAGGAGCCCATCCACGGACACTCAGAACACTCATGGAGAAGTGCTGGGCACCCTCGGGAACTGGGTGACAAAGGACAGAGGGGAACTAAAGACTACAACCACCAAAATCTGCCTGCTCTAATCATTTCCTCAAGGCAAGCAATAGGTTCAGGGCAAGGCCCCGAGTCTTGAGAAGGAAGGAGGCCCTGTGGGTGAGGAGAGTGAGTGTCTAACCACAGGGCAGCTGAGGAGCCGGGAGGGAGCGAGCGGCCCTGTAAGCTTTCCGGGTGCCCACCCCTCACCACCTGACTGCCTTGCTCTCCAGCGCCCAGGGTCCATCTCCCAGGGAGCTCTGCTGGGTTCTGGTGGCTGCCTTTGCCGCAATCTGTAGGCCTGGTCCTCAGACTCTGGGACACTGATCCGGAGGATCCCTTCCAGGATGCTGGAAGTCCCCGTCCCCTGTAGGCTGGAACCATTTTGTATTATTCTGAAGTACAATGATCCTCTTCCTCACTACAGAGGGTGCAAGCCTTTGAGCTACTGTGAGAGGAGGAATACACAGATCCACTGGGACAGCCTCTCAGAGGAGTGACCAGAGAATGTGCCCAGATCGGGCCTGGGTGGGCACCCAATGCAGGGCACATGCCAGGTCAGTGTGGATTAACTACAGAATAACCACAGGTTAAGTTGGAGCACAGAAAGGGGGTCTGACCTCTCTGCTCCTGCTGGTGAAGGCGAGTCATTTCCAGGATCTGTTAGAATTCCAGAAAGGAGTAGATTCTCATTTCCACCCAGAAAACTGGATCCTAAGAGTCTACAAGGGCTGGGAGGGTGGAGGGGCCAAGGAACTCTGTTTCTGAGGAGTGGGGAGTGAGTCATTGCTTTGGGTAGGGAAGGGGGTGAGGGAGGGAAGGGAAGACGGCCCAGAAGGCACTGCGGGCTTCCTCAGCCGGGGCCTCCACTCACAGGGGAGGGGGACCTGTTGTGAGCAGTAACCCACTCCCAAGCTACAGATGTCTCTCAGCCCACAGTCCACACAGGCAACTATCACTTTTCTTTCCTAACTTCTTCCATCTACACTCCCCAGCTAACCCCTGTCAACTTGGACTCGGGGGGGCTGGCCCCAACTCCTGGCTCTCCTTCAACAGTCTGATGGACCCGGGGCCCATGGGACAGCCTCAGATCTCCCACCCAGTGCACTGGTGCTGAGGGACAAGGCACCAAGAGCGCTCTGGGCTAAGACAGGGGAAGAGCAGGAAACAGGTCAGAGGGACCTGGGCCGCCTGGGCTCAGCAGGGGGTATTCCCAGACCAGCTCCCAGTGAACAGAAAAAGCCCCAGAAGCTCATTTCTAGGCCCCAAACAGCTGGCGCCTCTCTGGAATTATGGGGTAGCTTTATACAGCAAGAGCATGGAGACACATTACGAATAGCAAACACATACCTCTCCCTCTGTGCAGGCACCTTTCAACGCACTTAACACATATGAACTCATTTAAAATCTCCCTGACAGATGCCAGGGCCAGGGCCTGGAGGAGAAGGTGGCAGAGCACAGCTCAGGAGAGAGCGACATTGGTCTTGCCTTTTGTGACAACCTAGCCCATACCAGGCCCATTCCCAAGGTTCCCAGAAGAATAAGTCTGGCTGAACTTGGCTTCCACACTGTGCCTCCCTCGGGTAGTGCGGGTGCCAGCCTGTGGGTGGCCATGAGGTCAGCCAGGCACAGCTGAGCACCTGAACACTGCCTACACCCCCAGCCTGCCAGCAAGAACCAGGCCCTCAGGACTGTCCCTGTGGGACAGAGGAAGCAGCAGTAGATTCGGCCTCAGATGGCCAAGAGGGAGCCTCCCCCCAAGACTGGGAACAGAGGGGGCAGTGCTGGTAGACATGTTGGCAGCTCTGGGCTGGCCGGGATGTCCCTGCCAGCAGGCGCCCCAGGGGGCACCCAGAGCAGACAGCTGAGCCCAGGGGTCCTGCCCCCAGCTGTATCCCACCCTCACCTCAACCCCATCCCTCCCCACTGCCCACCACTCAGGCAGCTCTGAGGTGGCCTAGGCCCAATGATCTCCACAACGTGGACCAGGTGTCCTGGGCATGGCCACCCTGCCCCGCAGCTAGCAACCCCCACCTTTGGGCTCTGCTTGGTGACCTTGCGACTCATGCACACAGATGGACCCAGCAAAGCCTGTCACCTCCAGCAAAGCCAGCCCACGGATCTCCCTGGACTTGACGGGGGTAGTTATGGGAGAAACCATGGCTCAGAGGATGCTGAATCGGGGGCCGCAGGGGAGAGGGGCGGGGGCGGGGGGGGGGCGGCGGCTAGAAACTTTCCGGAGAAAAGAACCATCCTGTTTGCTCACTCCATGCGAGCAAAGAGAATCAGCTTCCCGCGAAAATCTGGTCCAGGGAAAGGGATCCCAGGGCTGTGGCCGCCCCACCCGGACCCGGACCCGGACCCGGACCCGCGCTGCGCCCACGTGCCGGGCCCGACCACCTCCCCGGCCGCGGCGCCGGGCTGGGGGCCAGGCAGCCGGGACCCCGAGGCTCTCCCCGCCCTCCCCGCGGGCCCCACGGGGACCGGCCGCCGCGTACTCACCCTCGCGGGTGGAGCGGGGCGGGGCAGGGCAGTTCGGCGCACGGCTCCGATCCGCTAGGCGCACGGCTGGTGGCGCGGCGCTGGCGCGGCGGCTCCGTTCGGCCCAGTCCCTGTCCCGGGTGCGGGGTGGGCCTGGAAGCGGACAAGTCCGCGGGCAGGGAGGCGGGGGCCCGGGTCCCGGCGAGGGCGGGGAAGGGGCCGGACACGCTTGCGCACACGGCCGGAGAGCCGACTCCGGGGAGCCAGCGGGCGGGCAGGAGGAGGAAGGGCGGGGTGGAGAAGAAGGAAGGGCTGTGCGCTGGCGGGGTGGGCGATCCCGCGCGCGGCCGGCAGCACGCCCGCCTGCCGGGGGTGTGTGGGGGCCGCGGAGGGCGAAGGAGAGGGCAGGCGGCGGTGCCTCGGAACAAGGGGCGCGGAGGGGTCGAGCGGGGCAGGCGCGGAGGGTAGGAAGAGGAGGCCGGATGGGGTGAGGGTAGAACCCGGAGCGGGGGAGCTCCTGTGCGTGGCGCCACGATGGATATGCCCAGCGCAGCCTCCCCACACCCTCCCGGGAACAATGAGACCCAACAAAGGGTTCTCCACTCTCCCATGCGGTGAAGCGTGTCCTTCCCTCACTTAAGCAAGTGAGACACGGAAGGGGGAGGGCCTTGTTCCGGGAGCCCACCCCTCAGTGCACAGCAGCGGCCAGGTGCCCTGGACTGAGACCTGAGTCCTTCCTCCGCCCTCGGCGGGACCTGCCGCCTCCAAACTGCTCCCTCTGCACCCCTCCTGTGCACACGCTATCGTGACCTTGAGAAAGCTTCTCAGTTTCTGTTCCTTACGGGAGCTGCCAGGCATCTTGTCTCCAGGGGAAACCCCATGAGGCCCCTGACCCTAGTTCCTTGGGCCCAGACATCCCCAGTCAAACCTGGGAACTACTCAGGCTGAAGGAGAACAGTCCAGAAGTCACCCGCAGCACAATCCACAGCCCCCGAGACACTCGGGTAACAGCTTGCTGCTGGGAGCTCCAGGGTCTCCCGGGAAAGTGTAAGACCCAGGAAGCTTACTATTCGGCTGCAGAGAGAAGGCTCACTGGACTCCCATTCAAGAATACGGCAGGACAGGAAATGACTAAGTGTAAGATGTAAGTGACAGTGAGTGCGAAGGGGGTTCAGAGACGTGCCAGCTAAAGGTTCACTCCAGCTGAAAGTGGAGGGCTTGTTTGGTGAGAACAGGTAACTCAAGAAGCTCTACTGCGCATGACCAAAGTGGAGATGTGGTGAGTGAAGAGTCGGCCTCCAAGTTGTTCCACAGGTGACTGTGCCATCCTAAATTGTACCTTGCATGGGCAGAGGCTATTTTTCTGCATTTCACGGATGTCTAACTTAATTGTGTTTGAATGGTGCCTTATTGGATGTCAGCTCTGGGCCTGGAACTAAGCTAGGTAGAAAGAACTCAATGACTCAAGTCTCTGCCCTGGGCAAGTCAAGAGGAAGAGGGACTACCCTCCCTGTTTTACAGATGGGAAAACTGGCCCCAAGAGAGTAAGCGCCTGCCTGAAGCAACAAGGTGAGTCTGGCAGAGCTGAACTGAGAATCAGCCCAGCTTCTCAACTTTGCTAACTCTGATGAACTAAACACAGTTAGCAATTGTTGCTCTGCACCATGTGAACTCCACTCTGCCTGAAAACATAACTGAAGGGCCAACTTTCGCTCCTGGAGACCTGATTTCCAGCTCTGCCTCTTACCAAATGGTTTTAGTTTTCTTACTAGAAAAAAAGTGGAAATAACTGTGCTTGTTCAAGTGGCTATTGTTGGTATTAAATTAGGCAGTGGCTGTGAATTTGCTCTAAAAGTATCATATGCTCTCTAAGTGTGTGTATTATGAAGGTGGAATCCCTCCTGTAACCTATAAGCTGTATTCAGATCTCGTCCTCTCCCCCTCTCCAGCTTATCCCATGCCTGGTTCCTGGGTGCCCAGAAGCTAACTGTAATTCTGACTCCTCTCCTTTGGCCACAACGTGCTTACTCATGATCTTTCCCCTTCAGTATCTTAGCAGCACAGCCAGATGCTTAGCTAGCCACCCAGAAACCATATCATCTGTGGGGCAGGAAGGAAGCAATTCTGATGCTTTTTCTATTCCAGGCACTGAGTTCTAGAGCAATCTGAACCGCTCCCAGCTCCATTGCACCCCTTCGGCCCACCTGTAAGACACTGCAAGTTGCTCTGCAAGAGGCGATGTGATGGAGCAAGCAGGGCTCTGGCTCCTGGGAACTGTACCTCTCAGAGAGCAGCTGTGCCAAGGGTGGGTCAAGACAACCTGAGGAGCAGCAGTCTGGGTCCCGGTCCCCTTCCGAGCTCTGCTGCCTCCATTCCCATTCCCTCTGCCCCCCTTTACCTCTCTGGCTCTGCCTCTGCTGTGGAGGAAGTGGATGACACCTCTCTGCTGGGGCAACCAGAGGGGCCCAGGAGCAGAGGGAGGAGACAGGAGCAAAGGGCGGGCGTGGAGGGGCAGGTGCCTCTAGAGCTGGGAAGCCACCACCTCACGGCTCCTCCCTGGCAGGCAGTGGGTGTGGGTAGGAGGCATGGGGCCCCTTGACAAATGTGCCTCACAGGCTTCTGGCTCCTGTCCCTCACAAGTGCCACGTTAGCATCCTGCCCACCAGGCAGAGGGAACAGCAAGGTGCCGTTTGAGGAAGAAATAAACCCAATCCAGCATCTTAGACGCTTTTAAAAATAGCAACTTCAGGATGGTATTTCAGCTCCTATTTTTATCAGATGTATATGGCTAGACCATGGAGCTGAGCTGTTCCCAGGGTTCTCAGTAGCAGGGGACATCACTGCTGTAGTCTAAGAAATCTGCCAGTACCAAGGCTAAAGTGCATTCCAGGAACCTGTGGGCTGGACGAGATCCCCAGAAGTCATCGCACACAGCCCTTGCCTCTGTTTAAGGCCATGATCGATTAACCACAGATAGTTTATGGCTTGCTTTTTGCCTTAAAATCTCTTGGTTACCAGGTCTCCACAGCATAATCTAGGATTTCACAGATTTTCAAATCAGGAAGTTCTTTTTAATATCTAGCCCAAATATCTCTGGTTACATCCTTTTTGGTCCTTTTCACAGTAGGAAAATAGCAGCTAACATTTACCAAGTGATTACAAAATCCTCTTGTTTAATGCTCACAAAAGCTCTGGGGGTGGGCACTGTTATTGCTCCTCGGTTAGGAGCCGTTATGTAACTTGTCCAAGATCATACTTGGTTATGGTGCAGCTTCTATGCCAGAACCATCAGGCCGCACTGCCTCTCAAGTGCAAGGGGAACAGAATGTTAAGAAATCTCCCCTAAGCCTGGACTTGCATCTCTTCATCATGGTCCTGAAGGAAAAACTGGCCAGTGCGCTAATTGTACGTGTGTGCCCCACGCTAGAAGCTCAGCTCTAGGTCCCAGCCATGCTGAGGCTCCCGAGCTGCTGGGCCTTTGCTTGTGTGGGCTGTTGGGCTGTCAAGTTTTAGCCTAGAAGTTTGACTTCTCTTGGCGTAAGCTCCCATGGCCCCCTCTGCTCTTCTCAAGGCACTCACCACTCTTGTAATTACTTTGTAATAAATGCCTATGTTCCTCACTAAATCAGATGCCCCATGTGAGCTCTATTGCCCGATTCTTGCTAAAAGGAAAAAAACAAGTAGGGTAGATGTTCAAACCTGTTATTGAATTGAAACACTTTGAACAGATTCAGTCCATGCTTATTTTTTAACAGTGGTTAAAACTTGGTAACTTCAAGCTTATATAAGTTTCAGAATTCAATCTAATTTCAGTAATAATACTAATAATAGAGCAAACATATGGTTGCCAACATTTATTTTGCTAAGTGAGGATATTTAAAAAACAGCTACTGTTAATTATCACCATCTTCTTGTAAAAGAAAGGACATTTTAATATTCCATATACGTATTTGTAATAAAGATTTAGTCCTTTCTGAGAAGGAAGAGTTAGCAGACCTACATCAACCTGTTCAGAAAGAAAACAGATATAGTAAAGTGTTTGGATATGGAAGTGTTACAAGAGAAACATTTTAAAATATGACTTTGTATGTAATTGTTTCTTGTTTTGTCTCTCATTTTGGGGATCTGTATTCAACAGGGAAATGCAAAGTGGAGCTTAAATGTCCAACTCATTCTATCTTTTTTTTTTTTTTTTGTGAGGAAGATCAGCCCTGAGCTAACATCCCTGCCAATCCTCCTCTTTATGCTGAGGAAGACCGGCCCTGAGCTAACACCTATTGCCAATCCTCCTCCTTTTTTTTCCCCCCTTTTTCTCCCCAAAGCCCCAGTAGATAGTTGTATGTCACAGTTGTACATCCTTCCAGTTGCTGTATGTGGGATGCCGCCTCAGCATGGCCGGACAAGGGGTGCGTCCGTGTGCGCCCGGGATCCGAACCCAGGCTGCCAGTAGCAGAGCGCACAGACTTAACGGCTAAGCCACAGGGCGGGCCCCCCAACTCATTCTGAAATGTTATTTTTCTTAGTTTCGGGAAGGCAGGTTGACAAATATAGAACACTCAGCAATTTTGCTCTATGAGGAAACTTTTGGGCATACTGAGAGGAGCCAAGGAACAATGGCAGTCATGCCCGCAACTGCTTCCTTCCTTCTCCCACCAAGCCAAGAAGAAAGTAGGCCACGTCCTGGGGGCTGACAGCCAGGTGTGGAGCCAGCCAAGATTTATGGGGGAAGGGTGACAGCTACCACGGCTCCAGCAGAGCAGGGACACAGGCACGCACGTCGAGGGCACACAATTAAACACAGAAGGCACTCATCCCAGCAGAGGACAGCTGTATCATGCTACCAGGGAGGGGCTGGCATTGCTAGTCAAGGTGGGGCTGAGGGATAGTGGGTCTTGCTCAGCAAGCTCTCTCAGGGGAGGCAGGATGGTGGGTTGACCAAAGTGACAGCAGGAGCAAAGCTGAGGCAGTGAGGGGTGGCTCTTTTTTTTTTGTGAGGAAGATCAGCCCTGAGCTAACATCTGATGCCAATCCTCCTCTTTTTTTGCTGAGGAAGACTGTCCCTGGGCTAACATCCGTGCCCATCGGCCTCCACTTTATATGGGACGCCGCCACAGCATGGCTCGACAAGCAGTGCGACGGTGCGCGCCCAGGGATCCGAACCGGCAAAGCCTGGGCCGCCGCAGTGGAGCACGCGCACTTAACCGCTTGCACCACCAGGCCGGCCCCGAGGGGTGGCTGTTAATCGGCATCCCTGGACCAAGGACCAGGATTCAGAGTGGAGCTCCTTTCCTCGCAGGTGAAAGCCCTCGGGTGGTGGCCCCGTTGCTGCCACCTGCTCCAGGCCCATAGTGCCTATGGTAGACAGAGCTGCTCTTGGACCCCTGTGGCCCCTGGGAACAGAGACTCCCTAGAAATGACAGGGAGGTGGAATGTGTAGTCAGAGTGCTTGGGCCTCAGAGAAGAGACCTGCGCCAGGCCCTCCGTGAATTCAGACAAGGCATGACAAAGCGACTGGCCTCTTGACTCAGACAGTTCTTCCCTGCAGCTCTTCAAGAGTCCCAGGATTCAGGTAAGATGGGGTTGCAGGGAAGAAACTGTTTCAGGTGACGACAAAGGCAAGTAGGTCTATCTCGGATGGAGGGTCAGCAGGACACATTTCGTGGCCCACCACCATCTGACCAGCTGTTTCCTGGAGTGAAAGCAAATGTCCTGGTGGTCAGTGACACTGGCCACTGCTGGGCTTTTGGGGGACAAGAAGCTGAACTCCTGAGGTCCTCTCCCAGAGCAGTTTCCAGATTGCAGGGCTGCTCCCTGGGTCTTGGCTACTCCTATTCCTGGCACCCCAGGAGAATCGACCCTCTTCACTTCTGAAAGCAGAGTTGGTCCTGACACACAAGCACCCTCTCCACCTCCCAGCACTACAAAGGAGCAAAGCGAGGCCTCCTTCTAGAACAGCCCTTACCTTCTGCCTCGTCCTATGCTCTCCCACCCCCCTGAACTGTGCTTCTGGAGGGTACAGCTCCACAGGTCTTATTGACATGCCTGTCCCTGTCATCACCTTGTAGTGCTGGCCCATGCAAGATGGTTGGTAGAAATGTGATGGATGGATGAGTAAACCCGTGAGGAGGGAGGAGAGATGGGACAGGTCAGGCTAGGGAGTCAAGTCTGGAGACGCAGGGAATGTCTTCACAGGGCACAGTTCCAGGGAGATAGAGACCCCATCCCCTGGGAGGCTCCCAGCAGTCTTCCTTTTGGTTCAGGATTGGCTGCCTGTTAGTCTTTTCCAAGCCTACACCCTGCGTGTGAAGCCAAATGAGAGCCCCGCTGATAGAACTTGATCTGTCAAGAAGAGGGATTGGGTCCCTCCACTCTGCAAGGAGGGGCCTCTCTGGGTTAGTATCTGCTCCATTCCTCTGCTCGGCCTCTTTTATCTTCACGACAGTTCAGAAGGGGTCTCCTCTTCAGGCCTCCCACTTATTTTTTTTAGACATGGAGAAAGACAAGCCAGGGCTCCCCTTCAAAGCCAGCTGGCGCCCCCTGCTGTAATCTCCACCTGGTGGAGGAAGGCCGTCCCACCCCAGTGCCACACCTCTCCCTCTAACCCGGCCCCCTTCAGCCTCAGCACCCTTAGCGCCTTACTCCATTTAGACTGTCCTGCTGGAGGCGCGCTGGGTTGGTCACTGTGCCCAATACTGTGGCAATTCCAAAAGCATTCTCTGTAGGTCGTCCTAGGGTAACCCTTGGCACCAGACTCCCCCGAGGAAGCCTTTTTTTTTTTTGGTGAGGAAGATCAGCCCTGAGCTAACATCTGTTGCCAATCTTCCCCTTTTATGCAGAGGAAGATTGGCCCTGGGCTAACATCCGTGCCCATCTTCCTCTACTTTATATGGGACACCACCATAGCATGGCTTGACAAGCGGTGCGTTGGTGTGTGCCCGGGATCCGAAACTGCGCACCCCGGGCCGCCGCAGCAGAGCGCGCGCACTTAACTGCTACGCCATCGGGCCAGCCCCCCGAGGCTCTTTTTAAGGTACCTTCCCTGTGTCATCTTTACTCCTACATTTGCTTGGCTGTCTGCCCCATTAGCCTGCAGGGTAGGAGCTGTGTTTTAGTCATCTCTGTATTCCCAACACCTAGGATGCTGGCTGGCTTGAGAGTTGATCGGTAAGTCAAAGCTTATGATAAAGCCACATCATCGCACTGTACACTTACACAGCAGATCACTCCACGAATCCGCATGCCCGCTCCCTTTCAAAGAAACTGGCTCAGGGCCGGCCCTGTGGCTTGGTGGTTGAGTGCACGCGCTGCGATGCTGGTGGCCCGGGTTCGGATCCCGGGTGCGCATCGAGGCACCACTTCTCCGTCCATCCTGAGGCCGAGTCCCACATACAGCAACTAGAAGGATGTGCAGCTAAGACGTACAACTATCTACTGGGGCTTTGGGGGGAAAAATAAAATAAATAAAAAAATCTTTAAAAAAAAAAAAAAAGAAACTGGCTCAGCATGCCTTGGGTCTTGTCCAATGTTGTATGATGAATGTCGGCTCCAGGAAGAGACTTCTGGCCCTGTGTGCACCATTTACCAGTACCTAGGGCACTGCCTTGCCTGTAGCATGTATTCAAGAAACAGTTGATGAATGAAGGAAAGGAGCTCAACTTGGTTCTCAGTCCAGGGGATGCAGATTAAGAGCCGCCCCTCTCCTCTGCCTATGCTTCCCTCTTATCACTTAGCAGAACCCAGCATCCTGCCTCCCCTGAGGCAGCTCCCTGAGCAAGACCCAGACACACCTTAACTAGCAAATGCCAGCCCCTCCCTGGCAGTGTGTCCTCTGTGCTGGGACGAGTGCCTTATGTTTGTGTGCTCTCAATGAGCGTGCCTATGTCCCTGCTCTGCTGTAGTGGTAGACATCACCCTCCCAGATAAGGCCCTGATGGCTCCCTATAGGCCATCAGCCTCAGACTCTATGAATGGGGACCTGTGATGCTGGTCACACCTTGACCCCGAGCCCCTCAGAGCTTCTGTACCCCACTGCAATGGTACCATTGTGCCCTCGCTGATACACTGTTTAGTGTTTGATCTTCTGGCTGCTCCAGGTGAGTCTGTTTTGTCTTCCTGCCTAGATAATAAACTCAAGGCCAGGGACTTGCTGACCAAATAAGAGGCAAAAGCAGGCTTTTCGGGCTTGCATTATCTGATTCTTATTAAAACCCTCCCACTTCCAGGCAGCAATCCTTCATCCTTGTTAACAAGAAGTTTTCATCTTCTTGGGTTGACTCACACACGGGGTGAGGAGGAGAAGGAAGGAGGAAGTGCCATCGAAAATCTCCATAGACTATTTTGTTTTTTGGGGGAACTCGCAGACACATGGACCTAGAAAACCACTAGGAAGATACATACAGAAAATGGGAAGGAGCAAGAGGCAGCAGAACAGGAAGGAGTGAAAACTGGGAGAGGCACAGTCCGATTCAGGACACGGGAGTCCAAGACGCCGCGGGCAGGGATTTGGAGAAAGCCCCTGGCACCCTTCCAGGTCAGCCAAAGCCACCACCCCCAGAGACTTTCCTCCCTTCTCAGGATCTTCCCACCCGGTTCTGCCCACTCCAGCTCCCCTCACACTGCCTCCCCAGGCCACACCATCAGTCCACACCGAATGAGACCAATACTTTATTCACATCCTAGGAATAAGCCAGTACAAAATATATTTTTAAAAAATTCACTTGGAGCTAAAAATTCCACTCCCCCCACCCTCAATCCCACACATCTGTGCTCTTCTCCTGACAGCCCCTGGGTCGACTCAGCTCCTCTGGGCCTCCTGCAAGAACGGGAGCAGGGGATCATCAGCCCTGAGGGCAAAGGTAAGGGTTCGCTGCTGGTAGTATTCCGGATCACACTCTAGGTTCTCAATCACCTCTGCCAACAGGTGGGCCCGCTCCACCCCCGCGCCAGGGGCCTCGAAGCCCAGGGCTGTGAAGTGCACGTGCAGGTGGTAGTAGGAGGGCAGGTAGTGCAGGTACACTCGGAGGCGGTCTGCCTTCACCTGGTAGCGCTGCAGGATGGCTTCCTGACAAGAAAGAGGAGTGGCAGGACGTGGTCATTGTGCTGCCCATGAACCAGCGCCAGAACCCTCCTCCTGTCCTAATCCCCGACTAGCCTTTGGACACCTGAAACAAACTCTCCCAACAGCTCCTGCCCACTGTTTGCTTCAGATCCCTGTCTTCCACTCTAGGGAATCAACAAATACAAGTGACAATGCAAAGCTGAGGCTCTTTCTCCCAAAGGAAGGGGACAGTAGCCACAATCAGGGTTCCCCACTCCAGCCTGGATAAAACATTTGCTTCCTCAAACAGTCGCTGCTGGGAATCTAGGAAGTCCCAGTGCCTAAGCACAGGCCCCCGATTCCAGCCACGGGGACTATCCTCCCCCTGGACGATTTACAAGCACTTAAAACATGAAGTAGGTGGGAGGCAGACTTGTTCTTCCTCTTAGCACAGAACAGAGTGGAGCTGATGGGGCTGAGCTAAGGGCTTGGTGACAGAAGGGGTGGGGGATCGGACATGAGAAGGGCTGCCCCCACACAGGCGAGGGAGGCATAACACAGCCCACCAAGTCTCACTGGACTCCTGGCAGAAGTGGAAGGCATTTACTTTGGCCTCAGCTCCTCTGCCCACCCCTACTTTGCTCTGGGGTAGGGCTTTTTCCACCAAACCCCAGTTCAGGAGACTCCAAGGCTTGGAATTAAGAGGAGACTCTGATTTCCATTGTGGGCAAATCCCTGAGGAGGTCAGAGGTGAAGAGAAAAAGACTAGGGGCTCAGCGGGCTCAGAATACACCCCAGAATTCTATTCTGCATTTGGAGCTCACCCCAGGGATCTCTGCAGCAGGGTGAGAGCAGGGCCAAACCACCCAGAGACCTTCCTGGGATAAGCAGGGCTGGCCGGCCAGGTGAGGCTGCCTGAGCCGCCAGGGCAGGTGGAATTGTTGGCCCAGCATCTCCTTGAGAGAAAGATGCCACTCTGCCATCCTGAGGCTGTTTCAGGAGAGTAACAAGTCACTCTAAAAAGACAAAGGCAGCCAGAGAGATGGTGACATGGGCAGGCAAGAGGGGAGGAGGCAGGTCAGGGCACAGTGACGGGGAGCTGGGTTCCGAGGTGAACAGAGAGCAGAGCCAGGCAAAGCCCTTCCTCCAGGTCTGCATCAAAGCCTCAGAGCAGCCCTTGTTGAAAGGGGACGAGCCTCTCTCCTGGCTGGGCACCCTCACAACTGCCGGGCCCTGGCACGGTGGGCGGCATCTTCAAATGTCTCAGAGTGGAAAGAAGGCTGAAAACAACCCCACAGAATGGCGGATTTACAAGGACCCCATCCAGACACTGAGGCCCAGAGAGTGACAGAAGTGACCTGCCCACGGTCACCCAGCAAGTTAGGGTCAAATGTCAGAACCAGGACCACAACCCGAGATTCTAGACTCTTCCCCATCTTCCCTCACCTCCAGGGCTCCTTTTAGTACCCCTGTTAATTTCATTCAATTCAACAAATATCCCAGATAGAAAGTATCTCAGAATGCCGCATGATACAGAATTCAGTGTCTGCCCTCAGGGAACATGAGGTACGTGCGTACACACAGCAGTCATGGACCCATCTACCCAAGAAACACATCTGGCACGATGTGGCTGTCACAAGCAAGACAGGGAATCCTGGGGTGGGGGGAGGAGGGCGTCCCAGATGGGACCTGCAGGAGAAAGGCAGGGAGGCAAAACTGGGAACCCAGGCGGAGGACGGCAGGCGTGGGGGTGAGGGAAGGAGGCTGAAAGGAGAGCTGGAGGGGAGGGGAGGGCAGGACCAGGTGACGGGGCCTTGTGAGTCCAGCCAAAGAGCTTTCATGTGGCCCTCACGGCTGCCATCCAGAGAGAAGCCCCTTGACAGAGGGACTTCTGGGAAGGGTGAGGAAAGTGACTGGGGGACCCCCGAGAGGTGGAGTATAATTCCTCTGGGCTTCAGTGTGGATTCGGCCAAGGCAACTCACCTGCCCCTCCCGGAGGATGTTCCTGAGCAGCGGCAGGTGCTCTGGAGTAAGGTCCCGAAGAGACTTGATGCCCCGGCGATGGCAGATGGCAATCAGGTACAGGTCATCGAGCTGTGCAGAGACCAGCAGGGGTAAACCAGGCCCAGCAGGGGCCAGAGCCGGCGGGAGGGTTGACCATCCTAGAATTCCCCACGGAAGCAAGGAAGCATCCACCCCCAAGGCCTGCAGTGCCAGCCACAGCTCATCCCAAAGACCCCAAGGCAGGACCGATCTCCAGGCAACATGGGCCTCCACGTGTCCAGGATGAGTGGGACAGTCTAAGGAACAGAACCTTGTTTATTCTTCCTGCTAAAGAATAGCATATAGGAGCATTTATATACACACAGGGCTGATGGGGGCGGGGGCAGCGCGGGAAGGAGGTTCAAGAAAGTGTCAAGGACAACTCTTTCCCTCCAAGAGTTTATGGTCTAATCACGTGTACATAAGTAAGTACCATAAGACATAAAGCGATAAAAGTACAGGAGGAAGAAGGAAAGACTAGATAGCTAGGGTGATCCAGGGAGGCTTCTCAGAAGAGGAGGCAGGGAAGAAGAGGTAGAGTTTGGAGAAAGGGCATTCAGGTAGAGGGAACAGTGAAAGCAAAGGCTCAGAGGAAAGAAAGTATAGGGCATGGAAGGGGTCGAGTAAGCAACTCGATTTGTCACATGAAGGGGTGCACAGGGACATGAGGGCAGAAAAGGAGCCTGGAGCCAGCTTGGCAAGGAGCACCACCAGAGCGCTTAACCTTGTTCTGTCTTCCCCTGTCTCACAGGCGGCCCTTCCTGCTGTCCTTCTTGAAAATAGCACCTGGCTGAAAACCTGGAGGTGGCAACAGTGCAAAGAACCAAAATCAACAAGATCTGGTGCCAGAGATCAAATGAACTTTCCTCTTGCCCAGAAAACCCTCCACCCCTCCCTGCTCACCCACGCCCTGGCCCTGGCTGGTTATCACATCCATGTGCGAGGCAGGCCCCAGACACCAGGGCTCCTAGGGGCAAGGCAGGGAGGGAAGCCAGCAGCATCAGCCCTGCAGTCCGAGCTGCTAGATTCTTCAAGGCGGTAATTTGGGGACCATGAGTCACTCAACAAAATCCCCAAGGGCCTCGACTGAAAAACTGAGAATGAGATTTTCCATATGGTGCCTGGTGTCCAACTGTGCCTCTTCATGCCAACATCGTCTCTTAACGCCACAGATTCTCTTCTCTGCCAGAGTTTTAAGAATCTGGGCTCTCTGCCCCAGACCTGCCGCAGATGAGCCTGCTGGGACCTCCCAGCAGATGGCGGAGCTGTGCCCACCCAGGTCTCAGTTTTTCCCACAAGTCTCTTCCGGATGCTCACTTCTCATGGCCCATGTCCAGGACATTTACTCTCTCACTAGCTAGGGGCCCAAGGAGATGCCAGGAAACAGAATTGCTTGAACTTGGGATGTGTATGTGCACGCCTGTGGGTGTCTTCAGCTGTTCTGTGTGTCACTGTCACAGGATTCCCAAATAATAGTGGCATTTGTTTTAGATGATATCTACTGACAAATCCCAAACTTGGCATTGAATCACACCTGTCTGCTCCACTGGCACGGAATGAGGCATGAAGCCTGGTGCTGGGTGTCAGCTCACAGGCTAGCTGAGAGAGGGAAAAGAAACCCATTGTTTGATATTAGACATGACCCCAGATTTTCTGCAGGCAGCCTAAGGGCCGCCGGCCCAGAGAAATGATCTGAAAAAAACTAGACCAGGGGCTGGCGAGGGTCTCAGGCTGGCATCCAGAAGGTGGCCCATCAATCACTTGGAGAGACAGACACCATCAATTTCTCTTTACAAGGCAGGACAGTAAAATCAAAGCAACAGCTTCGTGGCGAGGGGCAAGACAGAGAATGGCTGGAGCTTTGGAGAGCTCTCTCTCCATCTCTGGAGTGACTTAAAGGAAGAGTTCCCCAGTCCGAGAACTTGAGACCAAAGAACCTAAATTACGTGCACTGAAGGGGTATGTGTGTCTATGTAAACACATACATATATGCTTAGATGTCCAATATGCAACGACGATCTCTGGAAGGAGAGACAAAGAAATGATCTTTTCTGGGGAAATAGTCCCTTCTGGGGAAGGGAAAGAGAGGAATGTGGGCTGAGGAACTTACTTTCACTGCACACTATTTATACTATTTGCATATTTACCATGTGCATGTGTTAACTAGACCTACCAAAAAAAAAAAAAAACCCCAAAAAACAAATAAAAGAGAATATACATGTGATCTCTTAAGAGAACTGAGGAAGGGATGTTATAACCTTGAGGGTGGCCGAGTCCCTGGCAAACATCAGGCACTGGATAAATATCTGTGGAATGGAGAGATGGATGGATGGATGGATGACGGACGGACTTATGGACAGAGTCTCTTTAATCCTGGGCCATCAATGGGGGGAATAAAGATATACTTCTGGCAGAAGCAGCAGGAGGAGGAGATTCCAGGGTGGCTAGGAAGGCTCCTCAGAGCAAATGCCAGAGCACCTCTCTCCTCAGTCCTCCCCTGGAGGAAGGACAAAGAACAGAAGTCCAGGCCTGTGTCTCCCTGTGGATAACTGCCTAATTCTAAGGAAGGTGTTGATTTCAGTATTCTGTCACAAGTCAGAGATTTGAGACACTGAAATACGACACTTGATATGACAGGTCTAATCATGCAAAAGTTAAAAACAATAGCACCTGTGTGGCCATAAAGGGAAGTCACATTTTTTTTTTGTGAGGAAGATCAGCCCTGAGCTAACATCCATGCCAATCTTCCTCTTTTTGCTGAGGAAGACCGGCTCTGAGCTAACACCTATTGCCAATCTTCCTCCTCTTTTTCCCCAAAGCCCCAGTAGATAGTTGCATGTCATAGTTGCACATCCTTCCAGTTGCTGTATGTGGGACACCGCCTCAGCATGGCCGGAAAAGCGGTGTGTCAGTGCACGCCCAGGATCCGAACCTGGGCCGCCAGTGGTGGAGCGCGCGCACTTAACCGCCAGGCCATGCGGTCACATTTAAGCTGGCCCATTCACAACCTCTGAGGGCCAGTCGCCCCAGCCGTGCACTTCCTGAAGACTTTTTTGTTTTAAAGGAGACAGAGAGAGGGCAGTTTCACTGGCAGGCCAGGTGGACAATGGATTTCCGTTCTCAGGGCCGCGGGCTCAGGTGTGCTCCAGGCTCCTTGAACAGAGTTGCACAAGTCAATCTTTTGTTGTCCCTGCATGGCCCTCAGACCACCATCCCTCTGCAAATCACAAGCTCTTCAGTCTTCAAGGACCTCGTGAGTCAGAAGTTCCTCCTACCCCACAACCCACCTCCCATGACCCAGTCTGCGGTCCAGAACCTCCAGGCGCAGGGCTGCCCAAGGGCACAGACAGGGGTGTTGCAGAGATGCACAAACGCATTGCCCAGAGCTGCCACCAGCATTCCTATTCTGTGGCCTTGCCCCAGTTCCCAAACATCTCGAGAGCCAGTCCTGGCTTCCTTGCGGGGGGACGGCGGGCAGGTAATAAGCTGCAGGAGGAGGGACGGAGAGGGTGCAGGCAGGTGTTCTCTCGGCCTCTCTCACCACAACACCCCACACATGGGGAGCTATCTGCTTTGATCTTACCTGGCTCTAACATATCATCACTCAGAGCTGCAACTTCTGGAAGTGCCCTTCAAATTCCCTATCACCCCTCAAGCCACGTTCAGCAACTCCCACCAGTCTCGTAAGAGACAGCTGGCGCTCACTTGCCTGTGTGCCTCTGAGCCAAAATCCTGGCCCTTTACCCCACAGGCCCCTGGGGCCCCCATTGTGGCAGTGAAGTGGGGGCATAGCAGGTCTAGGACTCACCAAACCAAAATGTAGCAAACTGCAGGTGAGCTCAGTTTAGCATTCAAAGGCCTAAAGGGCAGGCCACAACTGAGAAAGCAAGAGGAAAGGCGTCTACAGAGAGGCGGACAGGGCCAGACTCCAGAAGGGATGTCTGTGAGGAACACAGAAACAAGAAGGGTCCACTTGAGAGCAGGATGGCAAATTCGAGCCTGGATTACTCAAAGACTTGAACTGGAGGAGAGGGGGGTGTTTATCTACGCCCCACTTCCTACCCAGCAATCCCGTGTCTGCTTTCCTCGGTCTTATCCCGGCCCCTGTCCTGCTGCAGGTGGAGCCCAGCCTAACCCCAGCCTGTGGTGGAAACAGCACTTCCTGTAACACGGTGCTCTGCCTGTTCCTGTTACTGTCAGGGTATAAGTCCACCCAAGGACACGATGGTAAGCTGTGACTGGTGATGAGCTGGTGTGGGAGAGTGAGGAAGGGAAGCAAGAAGGTGGAGAGACAGAGAGAAGCTACAGAGAACTGGAGAGAGACAATGTGAGCGCAAATGGCTCCACTGGAAACCTGCTCCTTAGAAGGTTAGGAGAAGTGAGGGGCACGTGGAGGCCAGGAAACAGAGCTGAGGGGCTTGGGGGAAGCCTGGGCCGCTGAAAGACCTCCTCTGCGACTTGGGCAGTGCAGGGGACTCCTTGGGTTGGTCACCATGGTTCCTGCCAGCCAGTGCTTCAGACCATGGGCCTGCCTGGATCTGCTGGTGTCCAGGGGGACAGAGAGAATGTACAGTCCACAGGGCTCCAGGTGCTCCTGGAAGTAAGGGTGGCAGCCCAAGCCACTGTGCTGGTTAAGAAACAGCCATGTGGTTATGGATGCAAACATCGGCCCACTCTTCCCCTTGGGTGGGAGGAGAGCCAGGGAAGGCTGTAAGCTGACCCGTTAAGGTGTAAACAGGACAGGCATGCACTCTCACTGCAGAGAGCTCAGGCCTCTCCTTGTTGGTTAATTACTGCTTAGAGAGAGAGACCAAGAGTAGAAAGAAGGACAGGATTAAGGAGGGCCAGCAACCTGAAGCAGGGTACTCAGAGACCCTAGAGGGCCCAGTAAGAAATCTTTTACCTGTTGTTGGTTCCACTTGAGGTCAGGGATGAGAACAAAGCCGACAGAGGGATCTGGGTTCTCAAAAACAATCCGATCGGCTTCTGCCTTCTTGTCGAGAATGTTATACACCCACTGGAAAGAGGGAGAGAGAAGGTTCACGCAGCCATGCACCGGCCCTGGAGAGACACCCCAGAGAGCTACGTAAGCTCTCTGGCCCCTCCAGGAGAACAGCCAAGTCATGAAAGGCCACTAAGCTCAGTGGATCTACACTCAGGCTATCCTGTCCCCAACGATCTGCTCTTGGGGGTCCACCACAGCTGACACTCGGCCGCCAAAGCTGTCCCCACAGGGGCCACGGCAGCTCGGACGTGGCCAGCTCTTTAGGCTCTTCCTGGTGAGCACTGTGTACATGCTCTGCTGCGGACCTACAGTCCTGGTCCGCATCCGCCCCCTCCACTGCCCACAGGACTTGGGAAAAGCTGTCTCCGTGGGCCCCCTTCCCACTTTATTCAGGACCACAGGCAAACACAGTCAGATTGGGAGTTCCTTCTGCAGATGGAGCCAGCTACACACCAGGGCAGGGAAAGGCTTAGGTTCTAGAAGTTACTGTGTGTGGGTTTCCCACTCTGTTGGGATTCTTGTTAGTGATGGGATTAGCATCTCTGCCTGCCTGGAGCCACAGCATCTCAGCTGACACAGCCCTTGCGTGACAAAGCAGAACTCACCCCGTCCCCTGTCAAGATGGTGATTACACAGACCTTTCCTGTCAACCCAGGGCTTCCAGCCCTTCCTCACACCCTTTTATCAGCTGCTGTCAACAGTCTTCAGGGAACCCTTCCTAGGGCATGTGTGGATCCCAAAGACATGGGCTTCTGAAGAAGCCCACCTGCAGGGAGGTTAAGATAAGAAGGCCCCTGTTCTCACAGGGCTCAAACCCATGGACTTCCACTCTTTTCCACTTCCCCCAAGCTCCAAGAGCCCTTTGCAAACTCGACCTCCTTCCAGGTCAGTGAACTCCCTACCCCAAATCCGAGAGAGAACCCTGCTGGAGAGCCAGCGAGATGAGTGGCTGGGTTCACACAGCTGTCCCTTCCACCTCTCAGTCATGATGGGCCTCCCAGTTCACTGAGTGGGGCAGATCAGGAGGCCAGGGCACTGACACAACCAGACCAGTATAGGGCTCCTCTGCCCACTCCCAGAAGTGCTGGCACAAGTAATGTCAGCAAAGGCCGGGGGCAGGGGCCGGTTTAGCATCTGCACACTTCACCCTGAGTTCGGAGGGCTGAGAACAATGCACTACATCATCGGCTCTGCGTCGGCTTGGCTAAGGTCAAGTGCAACTATCTGAGATGCAGAGGGTACCTGCCCAGGAATATCTGGGCCTCTCAGATCCCCTGGAAAGACCACAGGCTGGTCACAATGTGGTCCTCCCACTACAAAAGAGAGGCCCTTCCCAAGAAGAGCCTGGCCATGCCACTTCCTGGGAGGGGTCTGGAGGACAGCCAGCAGTGGCTTCCTCGTGCAGCACTGGGGCCAGAGCAATGCACAGCGCAGCCTGTGGAGAATCTCCCACAGAGGCATTTCCTCTCCGACTGCAAACCTCTCCGAGAATGTGCTATGGGAGAAAAAAGCCAGTCAGAACCTGACCTGAACCATCCCAAAAATAAAGGGCAGGGAGGGGCGTGGCGACTCTCTACAGAGAGCCTTGGTGTGGCCCAGCCCATAAGCAGGCCTCCCTGGGGCTCTGTCTTTGCCCACAGATAAGAAGGGATTGGAAAGCGGTATGTGGCATGAGAGAGAATGGATGGGCTCTGGAGCTCAACAAGCCTCTGTTTCATCTCCTGCTTCCACCACTAATTAGCCGCCACCTGTGTTAAGTGATTTCCTCTCTCTAAGCCTTGGTTTCCTCTTCTGTAAAATGGAGCTAATAATACCCACATGTTAGGGTGTAGTCAGGATTGTAAGTGAGAAAATGCCTGAGAAGCACCCAGCTCAGAGCAGGCACCCCACAAGCAGAGGAAGGTGCTTATTCCACCAGGAGGTATGTTCGGCTGGTGCCTCACGATGACGACAATGGGATGGTTTGCTGGAGGCTACTAGAAGGACTAGGAAAGGGAAAAAAGAGAAAAAGGATGAGAGCAAAGGAGGCAGTGCCAACTAAAGGGCAAGGGAGAACCAAGCACGAGGCTGCAGGGGCGAGTGACCACTAGGAAGGCACGATGGTGACGAGCCCAGTGCTGCTCTAAGTACCTCATGGGATTAACTCTCACGGCAACCCTGCTGTTAGTACCTCATTCTGCAGGTGAGGAAAAAGCAGGCGTGAGGAAGTTCACACAATTCCAACCCAGAGTCTGGCATCAGAGCCCATGCTCCAGGCCATGTAGGGAAGGCCCACGGGAGAGCAGGAGGGACCCGAATCCACATGAAGTCTCAGACCAGAAGTCCAGATAAGGAAGGGAGAACAAGAGAACACAATTCACATGAATCATAGGGGGTTGTGTAATGGGAAGTGACACCATCTGAAAGCAAGCCTGGGGGACTCGACCAGCCTTGCTGATATCGGGGCTGTGGGTGGGCACCGACAGCTCTGCAACACACCTGGCATGACCTCCTTGCAGTAGGTGACACTAGCAACTCCCTCTGGATGCCCTCACCTCCTTTGGGAATCTCACTCCCTGTTCACTCTCCTCCTGCTTTGCTGCTCACCCACCTGCTGGCCCGTCTCCTCTGGCCACCCTTCACCTGCCCCTGCTTCCCAGGTGTCCTAGTCCTGCACTCTCCCAGCCTGTTCTCTGGAACCGCTCCCTGTGTCTGCATAACGGCAGCTACCATTCCCGCACCTAGTCTGCGCTGGCAACAACACTGACACGATACATTCTCTCAATTTCCACCGGGACCTTAGGAGGGGGGTAGTATTAGCTGCATTTTCCAGACTGGGGCTCAGAAGTGAAAGACAATGTCACACTGCTCTGAGTCGGCAGAATAGGAATCCAAACGCTGGGCTGGTGCTAAAGCCTTGATTTGACAACTCACAAATGGACGTTTTTAGCCTGATGATCTCTAATGCTCCAGATCCAGACATTCCACTGCATTTTTTACTGGGAAATTACAAGTACCTCAAATCTGAGGAGCCAAATAGGGTAGTGGGCTAAGAGCACAGACGCTGGGCCAGACCTCCTGGCTTTGAAGCCCATCTCCAAGGGGCTGTTGTGAAGATTCAGTGAGGTGATGCTCGTCAAATGCTTATGGCAGTTCCCACACCTAGTGATGCTCGCTAAGTCCCAAACTGAACCGTCTTCCACATAAACCCTCTCCGCTGTCCATGTCCCCCGTCCTGGTTAATGATCCTACTATCCATCTACTCATTGCCCAAGCTAGACCTAGGGTCATCCCAGACCCTTCCTCACCTCCAAATCCACCATTTCCTGAGCCCTACCTCTTACGTTGCTACAGAAGCCTTCCCCACTGCCTCTGCCTGGGTTCAGAGTCTTCCTGCTTCCTCTCACCGCACTCCAACTGATTCTTTAAATCTGATCACGCGCGCTCCTCTGCGGCCTGGGGTTCGGATCCTGGGCACGCACGGAAGCATTGCTTGTCAAGCCATGCTGTGGCGGTGTCCCATATAAAGTGGAGGAAGATGGGCACGGATGTTAGCCCAGGGCCATTCTTCCTCAGCAAAAAGAGGAGGACTGGCGACAGATGTTAGCTCAGGGCTGATCTTCCTCAGAAAAAAAAAACAAAAAAAAATCCGATCTCATCACATGCTTAAAATCGTTGACAGGACCCTCACTGCCTACGGCAATCGTTCTCAAATCCAATGATCATTAGAAATAGATATTTTTTTTTAAATGCAGATTTCTTAGCTCCACTCCCTGAACATTCTGATTCAGCAGAGATGGAGTAGGGCCCCATGCTGTATATTTTTAAAAATCTCACCAGGCAATCTCGATGATCAGCACAGTTTGGGAACTTCTGGTTTCCTAGACAAAGTGCACATACTGCCTCCTGGCCCCTGTCTGCCTTCTCCTGTCATCTCCTGTTGATCCTAACAGCTCCCCAAGTGCATCAAATGATTCCAGCCCTCTATGCCTCTGTACTTGCTCTTCTCTCTGCCTGAAATACCCTACTCTGCCCTATTCACCTGGTAAACATCTATTTGTCCCTTAAGACCCAACTGGAGGATCCCCTCCTCTGTGAAGCCCCCCACTGTCTGAGCTGATCACTCACTCCCTCTTTGGGTCACTACTGTACCTCATATACAGACCACTAAAGTGCTTATCTCATTACACTGCAATTGTCAGACTACATGTCTATCTTCCCTACAAGACTGTCGGGCATCATCAACATTTTTCTTGGTAACCCTCTAGAGCCTAGCACAGGGCCTTGTACACAGTAGATGCTCAATAAAGATAATGACTGTTGCCAGTTGAGCTGAGGGCTTGTAAACTTGCTAGAAGTAGCCAAGAAAGAATACATGAGGGCCGGCCCTGTGGCTTAGCAGTTAAGTGCACACGCTCCGCTGCTGGCGGCCCAGGTTCGGATCCCAGGCGCACACCGATGCACCGCTTCTCTGGCCATGCTGAGGCCGCGTCCCACATACAGCAACTAGAGGGATGTGCAGCTATGACATGCAACTATCTACTGGGGCTTTGGGGGAAAAAAATAAAGAAATAAAATTAAAAAAAAAGAATACATGAATGCTCATGTCAAACAGAAGTTGGTAGAGCAGTGGCGTTTTTGTTGTATTATTTTCCAAGAGGAACTACATAACGGTGTATAAGAAGGCATACACAGTATATGACTCACATCAACTGTATTAAGGGTCTCCTCTCTTCACTCTCACGTATGTGCAGAACGTATATTCCACATCTCTCCACAACCCTGAACAGCAGAAGCTGTCTAGGAAGATGGAAACATATTTCTTTTCTACTTAGAAGACAGAGCAAATGCTGAGATTTCCTTAAAAAAAAAAAAAAAAAATCAAGCCAGTTTGCACCAGAGGAGCCTTGTGCAAATACTGCACAGGGGACCATGGCCAGTGGCCGGGCTGGGTCTTCCCCAACAGGAAAGAGAGCTGTTGGCACACAAGGCCTCCCATGGGCCCTGTCAACCTCCCTTTCCTTACTCTTCTCAAGTACAATTCACCTCGTAGTGCCCCTTACACCCAGGACACCCTCCCTTCTCCTGGGTCTGGGAGAAATGGCTGAGTTTCCCATATTAGAACACCCTCCACCATTGTAACTGGCATGTTGGGGAGAGTAAGTGAGAATTGCTCAACGAGAACAAGAGTGAGTGATACAGAGATGGAGACAGTGAAAGCCAGTGAGTGAGCAAGGAAACGGCTCATCCATCATATTTAACTCTGAGCATTCACCTGGGGCCAATTCCAGGCAGAAGCTCTGGCTGGTGCTGGGTAGAGACCCAAGGAGGAGTTGGGATCTCTTAGCTAAATGGCCTTGCATATGGCCCAGCGGCTGAAGACACTCGAAGAAGCTGCCAAGTCAGAAATATAGCCCCTAAGAGAAGAGGCCCTGCACCAACCCCCAAGAACAATAGGGTTCCACCCTCTATGGAATGACTGCAAGGGGGAACAAGTGAAGGGGAAGTTTTTTACTCTGGGACTTCACTCCTGGAGGCTGGTTTGCTGCAGGTGAAACCAGGAATAAGAGTCTGGACTGGGGCGGGCCTAAACTGGCACCAGTCTACCCCTTGACAGAACCCTGGCAAGGGCACAGCCATTCTGAGACTGTACTGGGGCTACTGTAGAGTACATACAAATTCTTCTAATGGACTGGGTTGCTTTGAGATTCCCAGAGAGCCTCAGTCCATGCCCCAGATCAGGTCAACTCCCTTATCAATGAAGTCTTCTCTGACCATCCTCTATAAAACAGTGACGACCTCACCCCACTTATCCTGCTTATTCTTCTCCACAGCCCTCATGATCTCATGTCTTGTGTACTTATATATTTGTGTGCTGTCTGACTCCCACACAAGGTGGTGAGCTCCATGAAGGCAGGGATTCCACTGTGCTCTCTGTGTATCCCCATGGCCTGTGGAACAGTGCTGGCCCCTGGAGAGATGCTTAAGAAAGATACACTGGCCACAGGGACAAACACTCCATGTCTGACCTCTTGGGGCCAGTCCGAGAAGCGGTGGCCAGTCACCTGGATGCTGAGGCTCTGGGACTCCAGGTGGGGTAAGGTGATGTTCTTGTAATCATCTCCTGTCTCTCGCACCAGGTGGAGGTCCCGGCGCACGTACTTCTGCAGGTGCTTCTCTGTGGCAGGGTAAACCACAGTTGTCTTTACATCTGCAACGACACAACACGGCCTGCAAAGTTAGGCCCACTCTCTGCAGAGTCCTGTCACACTTGAGTCCCCACAGGTACCACAGAAGGGAGATGAGCCTTGCCCCACCTTTGATTCCCTAACAAAGGGAGCCAAAGGCTAAGAGGTTATATTCACTTGTGATCTCTGCCCACGAGGCACCTCGTGCCATTAAATTCATGAGCTGAGCCACACTCAGAATCCAGAAAACACAAGGTTTTCACTGATGGGTCACTGGGCCCCTCATCACCCTAACCCTAGCCCTTCCCTGTTTTCTACACACAGGAATGAAGTTTCCGACTCTTCTCACATACCACATTTCTACCTATGTGGCTTTCTGGACCCAAAGCTGAAAATCCAGTTTAAAGCCAAGTAGCCTCCCTTAACGCACAGCAGCACAGCGTAGCACAGTGGCTAAAGACATGGACACTGGAGCCCAACTGTCTGATTTCAAGTCCTGGCCCCACCTGCTCCCTCCTTACCTCAAGTGGGTCCTTGACCCCATTCCAGTTATTTCACCTCCCCATGTCCCTACTGCCCCATCTGTCGCCCGAGGATAATAATAGCCCCTCTGTCATAGGGTTGGGAGGATTAAGCAAGTTAATACCTGTGAAGCACTGAGAACGATGTCTGACAAGTGGTAAATACTACGTAAGTCCTGGCTATTTTAAACCAGGGTTTCTCAACCTTGGCACCGTTAGCACTTTAGACTAGACAACACTTTGTTGTGGGGGCCGTCCTGTGCAGGATGTTTAGCAGCATCGCAGGCTTCTACCAGATGCCAGTAAAACCCTTTCTCCAGTTGTGACAACCAAAAATGTCTCCAGACATTGCCAGATGTTCCCTGGGGGATAAAACTGCCCCAGGCTGAGAACCACTCTTTTCATCAGAAGGAAATCTTGCAGTTTTTCTAAACAGACTCTAGGTTAGGGTCCCAGTCCAATACCACCTGCTTCTGGTGAAGTCCTTTTCCCTATTTCTAATAACATCTGCTACAACTGTTATCATGACCTTAACGTTTATACATAGTGCTTTAACATCAATCTTTTTTTTTTTTTTGCTTGAGGAAGATTGTCCCTGAGCTAACATCTGTGCCAGTCTTCCTCCACTAACATCCGTGGGATGCCTCCACAGCATGGCTTGATGAGCACTGTATAGGTCTGTGCCCGGGATCTGAACCTGTGAACCCCGGGCCGCTGAAGCGGAACGCACAAACTTAACCACTATGCCACCGGGCTGGCCCCTCAACATCAATCTTAAGGGCAGGAAAGGTAAATGGTGTTTTAAAATCAGTTGGGATGTTTCTCAAAAGACCCACGTCCTCCCTGACTCCAGAATCAGATGTGTTCTCCCAGGGAAACCTGCGAGAGAAGCCCTGCTGGGGCATTTTAACATTCTAGGAAATTTTCATACTCACCTATGTACTTCAAGACCCAGCTAAGAACCAGCAACCTATACTTTCAGACTTGGTCTGAGGCTAGAAGTGATTTTTTTTTTTTTTTTTTTTTTGCTGAGGAAGATTAGCCCTGAGCTAACATCTGTGCCCATCTTCCTCTATTTTGTATGTCGGATGCCACCACAGCAGGGCTTGATGAGTGGTGTGTAGGTCCGTGCCCAGGATCCGAGCCTGCAAAACCCGGGCCGCCGAAGTGGAGCACGCGAACTTAACTACTATGCCACCAGGCCGGCCCCCATGGACAGAGGTGATTTTACTCCCCATTTCACAGGGGCGTCGAGACTTTTGCAGGGACTCGAGACATGTGCAGCACCCCACTGAAATATGGCAGAGGCAAGACTGGAATCGGAGTCTTCTCACCCCAAAGTTGATGCTCTTTCAACACCTGCCTAAAGGCCCAGTCTCATCTTCCAACAGTCCAGGGGGACGTCCAAAGGGGCTATACCAAGCACATGACTTCTGGTGAGGATCACAGGCCCCTGGTCCATCAGCTCTGGCAGCATGGCATGAAGACATGGGCTCTGGACCCAAGCTGATGTGTGACTCTCCCCTTACTGGCTGTGCGACCGTGGGTGTGTTATTTAACCTCTCAGAGTCTCAGGTTCCTTATCTGTTAAAGGGTAGTCATAAAATTTGAGTTTTGCTAACATTAAACAACACATGCTATCTGGACCACTGGAGGCGCTAAGTAAATGTCAGCCCACTTCCTGTGAATCTCCGGATCCGACCCTGACAGGGAGGCACAAAGGCCTCCTCACAACCCTCTGGGCAGCAGCAAAAGCAGTTCCTCACTTCTCACTCCCACCACTCTCTGACAGCCCAGACTTACAGGCCAGGGGTCAGAGGTCAGCACGCCAAGACCTCAAGAAGCAGGAGACTGCCCGAAATCAACTGAACAGCACTGCCTTGGCCCTTGCAGTGGGCTCCAGGAAAATCTCACCATATCTGCCGTGTAGCCTGGTGGAGAAGAGCAGAGATTCTCGCACCAATCACCCTGGCGTCAAATCCTGGCCCTGCACTTAGCAGCTGTGCAACCTTGGGCAGGTGACCTACCTTACAGGGCTGTTGTGAGAAGTCGATGAGCAGTAGGTGGGAAGCATTCACAAAGTGCCCCCCACACAGAAGTGCTCCTCCAATACTGGCTCTTATTCTTGCTGTGTCGTCGTTACTTCGGTTGCCTGGGCTGGGCAGTGGGGGGAAAGCCGTGAGCAACGGAGCTCCCTCAGCACTGGGGAGATGGGCTGGGGACAAAGGGAGAGCTGACGCTGGAAAACAGCCTAGCCCTGCTGGCAACAGACACACAGCCCTGGGCACACAGCCTGGGGCTCCCTGGCTGTTCCAGATCAGAGAGCCGGTGGGCCTGCGAGTAGGCCCCTGTCTGCCAAGGCTTGTCAAAGACTGCCCCAGCCACCCAGGGTGCTGAGGAAACAGGCACCTCACCAGGCCAGCCCCCTCCTGCCTTCCCCCTCAGCAGCAGGGAAAAAATAAAAAGGTGTTTTCCAACTGCTAACTTCCTGCTGTCCTTCTTCCCTTCCTGAGAAACTCCTGCCCAGATGCAGAAACCCTACTGCTGCACTCAGGACCCCCTCAGAGCCAATCATTCCTAGGGGCCCACTCTCTGTCAGACCACCACTGGAAGCCCTGGCCAGGGGCAGGCCGGCCCTCACATGCTGGCGTCAGGGGTAGGGGCTGGACTGCTTCACTCGCTTTCCACCATGGTCTCCATGGCCCTCCGTCATCACACCCCGACCCCCCCTCCACCTTCATTTACCGCCGTTCTCCTCCTGATGTCTCTGCTCCCGCCACACTGATCTCCTTACACTTCCACTAACTCACATCAAGCTTCACACCCACTGCTCCCACTGCCAGGTGGGCCTCCCATCTCAGTCATGGGTGCTCCCTTGCATCATCCAGGTCTCTGCCCAGAGGTCAGCTCCTGAGCTCACAGACAGCCCTGGCTAAAAGGGCGCCCCTTAACCTCATCACCCTGTCTCCTTCTGGCTTGCTTTTTTTCCCCCATCACCACCAGACAATAGAACACAGAGTTACTGTCTGATTCTCCCACTGGAATGTACCTTCCAGGAGGACAGGGACATTGTCTACCTTTTTTTTTTTTTTTTTAAAACATTTATTTTTTCCCCTTTTTCTCCCCAAAGCCCCAGTAGATAGTTGTATGTCATAGTTGCACATCCTTCTAGTTGCTGTTTGTGGGACGCCGCCTCAGCATGGCCAGACAAGCAGTGCATCGGTGCACGCCCAGAATCTGAACCCAGGCCACCAGTAGCAGAGCACGTGCACTTAACCGCTAAGCCACGGGGCCGGCCCCTGGTCTACCTTTTTTTAATTTATCATTTTATCCCCAGCACCTGCAACAGCATTTGGCCTATAGTAAGCACTCAACAAATATTTACTGAACAAATGTTTAAATGAATCCGGCCTTTTCAGACTTTAACCCCAGGAAGAGCATTTTTGTCCCAAATGGAATAAAACCTCTCTACCAAAAATCAACGTATTTCCCAATGCCAAGTTTCTCACTTCTCAAAAGTGAACTCTGGTGCTTATCTAAATGACCTGCAACTGAACTCCACAAGGATTTTGGTCAAGAGTCAATGCCCAACAAATGCTCAAACCATCGGGTGAAAAGATGTTGGGAAACAGGATATCCATGCACAGACTCAAAAATATCTCTCCACAGATTACTTATTAATCACAAAGGGAAAACATTAAGTGATCAGGGTTAACATCACTCCTAATGGGACAAACTGATATCATGTGCCTCCTGAGGAACCTGCTATGGTATCCTAGCCAAAAATGCATACCCTAAATCCAATTACAGGAAATATCAGCAAAACTAGATCCAGGGACATTCCACAGAACAAGTGGCTTTACGACTCTTCAAAAGTGTCAATTAGAAAGATAAAGAAAGGCCGAGGGACTGCTCCAGATCAAAGGACATGCAGCACTAGACAGGATCCTGGATGAGGGACAGGAGTCTTGCTCGAAAGACGGCATTGAAACAACTGGTAAAATTTAACAATGGTCTCTACGTTACATAATAGTTTTGTATAAATGTGAAATTTCCTAAAATTGGTCATTTTACCCGGGTTCCTAGAAGACACACTCTGAAGAGCTTAGCAATGAAGGGTTATGATGCCTGTAACTTACTTTTCAATGTATATGTGGAGAGAGAAAAAGCAAATGTGGCAAAATGTTAACAGTAGGTGAAAGGCTTTTATAAGGGAGTTCTTTGTACTATTTTTACAACTTTTCTGTAGGGCTGAAATTTTTTTTCACAATAAAACGTAAAAAAAAAAAGGTGTTGAGGGGCTGGCCCAGTGGCATAGCTGTTAAGTTCGTGCGTCCTGCTTCGGTGGCCTGGAGTTCCCCAGTTCAGATCCTGGGCACGGACCTACTCACCACTCATCAAGGCATGCTGAGGCGGTGTCCCACATAGAAGAGCTACAACTCTACAACTATGATACACAACTACATGCTGGGGCTTTGGGGAGAAAAATGAAAAAAGAGGAA